ATTTTGCAGTTAGCTTTTCATGTCCTGCTACAACCTGTAGCACTAACAAGTACAACCAGAGTGCAATGCAGACACACCATAAAGCAAGTAAAATCCATGGACAGGCATTTGAACTCTTAGTAAGCCGTAGTGTATGTTAATACATGGGTAGAAGTGACAGGTACAACAAAGGCATTCCAGCACCAAACTTTTCACTAAATACTTGTCCATTCAAGGTGCAGACAGAATACTGATTATAGACTGAGGCTCTGGATGACGTGCAGAGCAAGAACTGATCATCAGCTTGTGTTGAGATGAACCAGGAGATGCATCTTGGCTGCTTCCACCTTGCCAGGCTTCACCCTGCAGTCACCTGGTCCATGCACTTGCTGAACCCCAGCACTGTGGGCAGTTCTGATTACTCCTATGTGAGAAAGGAGTCTGTTGCATAATATTTACCCAAGTTTTCATCTCCCCACTAACTTACTTTGCTTTCATATACTTGTGAAAGGACCAGGCAAAAAATACCAAGGGTAACCTGCACAGAGAAGCAGTAAAGAGCAGATGTAACAACAACAATAACAACAATTAAAAAAAAACCAACAAACCAAAGCAACAAAAACCAAACAAAAAATCCAAATAACAACAACAAAAAACCCTCTAAGGGCTGGGGGGAAAGTAAGGAAATTTAAAAGAAGGTATTTACCATGCAGTATTTTCTTTGCTCGCTGATCCCTGATGTCCTGACCCTTGACTTTTATCCATTACCCCTCATCCTTGGTCCCTGGCTTTTGACCCCTGGCTCTGGAGCCTGGTCCCTAACTATCTGCCCTGCCTGTACCCAGACCTGCTGCTGTGTGCCCTGCCTGTCACTGCAGCCTGCACGTGCCATCCCTACCTTTTTGGGGTGCTCTTGTCCTCCTGTGAGGGCTCTGCTGCTGGCCTGGTGTGATGATTGCTCCTGCTGCTCCTCCTGTGCTGCCACAAGGGTGAAAATGGCATCCTTAGGGCAGTGCAACTTTCTACTGCTGGTTTTTTTTTTTTTATTTTAAACTAGGGAGAAAAATTACAGTCTGGTTTAAACACAGAAGAGCAGAGGAAATAAGGTCTCGGCGAATAAAGTGGATCAAACCCAGAAAGGTTGAAAATACACCCAAAAATGTGATTAAAACCAAATAAGGTTAGATATTGGTGCCAAAAGTTTCTTGTTCAGGTGTGCCTCCTGAAAGGAGGGAAATGGGTGGATGTCTGGGAAATGAGTGAGCTTTCTGGAAGAATGTAGTATTAGGTCATGTTTCATACCAGCCCGAAGCTGCAAGATTCATTAAGATTCAAGTAAGTAAATTTTCTTATTTGAAAACTTTATCTAACCATTGATTTAACTATTAAAAAGTACCATTGCCCTTGAAAAAAATAAAATGTTTACACTTGTGGTCTGGATTTTCTGTTATTCGTGAAAATTGGAACACATCCTATAATTGTGCTATACAGAGTTTTAGCAGCAAAACCCAATTATTCATTAACTTTCATTCAGATTTAGGTCAAAGATCAAAGTCTGCTATCACAGTTTTGACGTATTGACTTTGGCTAATTTTTTTCAATTTTGTTCACTTGATGCATGCCATCCCAGCTGAAGTCATTGTATTGCAAAAGTAGCTGTGCAACTTCAGGTTTTACCCAGCCAGTGAACTCTAAATTTAGATGTTATGCACTCAAGCAGGTGAGTGCTTGCACCTGAGCAGTCTAATTGACTAGAAAATAAAGTCATATATATATATATATATATAATCTTAATTAACTGGATCAGAGCACAGGTTTCAAAAGCTTTGACTCAACATTTTTATTCCTCATCCTGGCTCCAAAAATAATGATTAAATAAGAAAAACAAACAATGGATAATTCAGTTGAACTCCTAAGAATGCTTTATTCCATTTCAGTGAATCAATACATTCCTTTGTGAAACGGGAAGCAACATGAATTAGTGTACATTTTTATGTGCCATCTATTCTAATGTGGCAACAGAGAAGCTTGCAAAATTGTCCTGCATTGTATAATTCAATTTGAGACTAATTTACTCTGTGACTGATGTTTCTGCACAAGTCTCACAGTAAGTGCAGTAAATCTATCTGGTATTTCTTACAGCTTTGGGTTTTATCTCTCTACCATTATACAATTTAGTATTTTAGCCTGCATCAGTTTAGACAAGCAGTAATCTTGATAGCAGCTCCTGAAGCAATGGTACTAACAGTGTATGACACTAACAGCATTAAAGTGAAACATTGTTCGCACATACCTCAAGCCTGCTAATTTTCTGAGACACACTCACAGTACCAGCACTAATAGTACCAAACACATACAAGAGATCACTGGAGAGCTTTCTTGTAGGTTAACAGGTAGAACGCAAAACTTCAGATATGGAGGAATTTGTTGGCTATGACTTCAGGTCTTCCATTCTTCATCCTGCCAAAATCTATAGAAATACACAGCCTATATCCTTCCCAGTATGTTTTTATAACATGGAACACCAAATGCATTTTCTATTGTTATTTGGAGTAATTACAACAGTACAAGTCAGGTCTAAGGCTTGGAAGCCTTGAAAGAACACTTACTTCCTAATATCTGGATCAAGAATAAAAGAGATGCAGTAGCTGAGGATATTAAATGCAAGAGGGTCACTGACTGCACAGTTGGTGTAGGAAAAAAAGTCAGAAAGGGCAGGTTCAGCAAAAAAAAAGGACAAGAATCCAAGATGGCAGGGCAGTATGTTTAGTCTAGGGCTAAGCCTGCCCCATTTCCCATGAACATAATACATAATTAACATTTGATTACTCATTGTGGCCAAAACTGTGCAGTGGATGAAAATCTGACGCTGTGGAACTGCAAGTGAGCACATCCCTGTCCCAGTCCCCGGCAGCTGTCCTGCACTGTCTGCTCACTGTGCCAGTCTTCAGATGGAGGAATTGCCCTTGGAATTGCTGAGCTCATTGCAGATGACCTTGGCATGATTCCTGTCCCTGTTAGAAAACTCAGCACACAATGGGCACAGGCTTTGGCAGTCTGGCTGCAGGAAGCACAGCCTGGTGCTGCCCCAGCTGAGCCTTGGTCCCCAGCACCACACACCAGGGATACACACAGGCAGTCTTCGCATGATGGGGCTCCATCCTCGATTTCCTCCCTGCTTTCCACAGTAAGGAAGTATGAGGGTCTCTAGCCAGCAGAGCACCTCAGAGAATGGCAGCATTAAGAGTATCAGAACTGCATTAGGCAGCCTGTCACAGCAATCACCTCTGTAACGTGCCAGTGCCATTTTTTGTTTTCTTTTTCTAAAAATTTTACAGCCGGTATTAAAAGGAAGTGTCTCAGTCCTCTCAAAGGTCTGGCACCTTACAGAGCCTCAGATGTGCAAGTTTGGAGGCATTCTTTACTCTCTTGTGCTGCTCTGGGTTTTAATTTGTTCTTTAGTGGTGGTCCTGTCTAGCTCATTAAAAACAAGATTTGTGCTATCTTTTTTTTGTAATGAAAAAAAGTAATTAAAAGCACTTTTATGCTTCCCATCTGGTTTTTGCATCAGGAAAATGGGCAAACAGAAATTACTTCCCGAGATCAGGCAGTGCAATACACAAAACCTGGAAGTTCTCTCACTGTTCTCTGCACAATCTAGGATACAACCAAGGAAATCAACTGAGACTATGAACATAAACTTTCACTCTCTTGTTGAATGTCTGAATGCTATTAGTTTCCCTGGACCAAGTATTTGCACTATTATATCCAGAGAAGCACCTGATTTCTACTAATATATATTGATATTATGTGAAGAACAATGTAGTTCAACTTGTTGTCTATGTTTGAAAATCAGAAACTGAAAGGGAATACATGGAGAAATGGGCAGATGAGTAAAAAAAGGAAGAGTGCAGTTAGGATTAAAATGCTAGGAGAGTCCTGTGAGCCTGAGCCATAACGTGAAGCACAGATAAAATGAGCACAATGAGTAACCACAGACAATGATCTAAGTGCAGATCCTGTAGCAAACACCACAGTACTGTGTGGTTCTCTCCCCAAGATGATGTTTTACCCACTTTGAAGGCCTCTGGTAAGTGACCTGTAAAAGACATCTGCTGGTTTGTTTTAGAGGAGATAACCTCCCCTGAACAGACAAGTGATATACAGCAGCCAAGGCTTTATTTTTGTCAATGACTTGTCAAGCCAGCTGTGAGCATTCACCCTTTCAATCACAGACTCATTAGGATACATACATATTTAATCAGGACTGTAACTGAAGGTACTCAATGCTCCTACAGTACTGTATGTTTTAGCATATAGCACCTTGTATTTTGACATTTAGGTGACCATGCTAATGCTGAGGTAAAATCCAGATTTCTACCACTAAACTTCAGAGGATTGGAAACTGGGAATCAGTCACTTCCCAGTGAAAAACCACCAGTTTCTTTCCTTATGTTTAGCATGCTGCCTATTTAAAAAAAAAACACAGCAAAAACAATGCTGAGAATTATTTGATTAAACTGTAGCTGAGGTCATGTAGCCATCTGCCTTACTGCTGGGGCTGGTAGACGCTGCAGTCTCTCAGTGCTTCCCATCGCTGTCCAGAGCAGATCTGCCAAAACAGGAATGCTGTTCCATGTGCAGATAGCAGAAGCATTCAGCAGCTGACCCTGCTCTCAGTCAGTCATTTTCCCTTCTGCTGGCACCCCCATCAGTGGCACCTCCACCATGTCACCATCAGTGGCACCAGATCAGGTGGCCTCCTTGACCAATGCCACTCAGTCCTGCTGCCAGATCTTCCACTGCTTATTTCTTGCAGCACAATCTGAAAGAAAGCCTGTTTCCATGCCTGAGCGGGTTTGGACAAAGATAAATCTGAAGGCTGCCTAGTGACTACTATATAAAAATACAAAAAAAAAAAAAAATCTGATGATCTAACCTACAAGGCTTCAGTTATTTGGTATAATTAAGTGGAGAAGATGCCAAGAAAATAATTACCGGAAAGTTTTCTTTTGACAAACTTAGGATAGAAATTTCTCAACAGCTTCAAGGAACTCCATGGATGAGCTAAGCCCTTCCAAGTCCAGCAGATTGCTCTTTTTGTCATGAAAGTGGAATAATTCAGTCTCTTCCTCTTCCAGTTCTTCCTGAAACAGATTGGTCTCTGAGGTAGGAATGATGATGATGCGAGGGACTGCATTGCTAGTCAGAGAATCCACAATTCCATTCACTTGACTTCCTTGAGCTGCCATATGGGAAGTACTTGAGTCTCCACTGGTGACACTGCTGCTATTCAATCTGACAGGCAGAGAAGTTGCTCTCAGGGAGCTGGTCATGAGTGCTCCAGAAGGACTGGGTAGGGCAGGCTGCCCAAGCACCTTCTCCAAAGAACTGGAGGAGAGTGAAACCTGGAGTAGACATAAGATTTAGCATTGTCAGACACCATGGGGCTGTGGAAAAGAGTGTTTGGAATATTCACTGCCTCTAGTCAAATTTTGAGCCACAAGCCAAATTTTCTAAATACTTGAATCATTAACTTGAAGGAAAATCATGATGTGCTAACACATACTGCTTGGAAAGCAGAACATTAAACAGAACAAAATAAGATGCACTCAAATATCAGCAGAGGCTGAAAAGAAGAAAAAAGAAGAAAACAAAAACTCATGGTTGTATCTGACTTATTTAATCATTAATGAAATGGTATTACTTCATTTTTAACAGATCTTACGGTATCAGGGTACTAGATTATTGCACTTCTCTCTCTCTTCTCTCTCTTCTCATGGAAGAGATCTCAGATAAGACTCAAGTACACTTCATTCTTTATTCTCCTAAAGTTTTGTCAACCTTGTGACAATCTCTGTCTCTCCCCAAGGCTCATGATACTACCTAAGGGAAGTTGGTGGCCTTGCATTCACACATTGGAAAGTGCTTCCTCCAAGAAATAAGCAATAAAGACTTTCTTTGCAAACAATTTCTTATCTATTTTGAGAGAATTCCGATTTCTAACTTGGCTCTGATGGCAAGGGCTCTGTGTTCTTTCCATGAGTCTTGTGCACAGTCTGCAATTCAGAATCAATTAAGTAAGCTTTGAAAGTGTCAGTTAATATTCAAATACACAGGCAAGGGAAGGCATAAGTAATTAATTTGGGCTTCTTTAAAAAAAATTACAATCAAGGTGATAAAACCACTGTGTCAGATGGAGAGATAAACTGGAAGTCCCTACTTTCTACGGAAAACCAATATTTAAAGTAAAGTGCAGGTTTTACTTCATCTCCATGTGAATTCCCATAGTTCTGTGTCATTCTACTCCACAAGCAGGAATCATTCATAAATCCCCATTGATAATGATTTCTCCAGCTGCTGTATCTACCAAGTGGAGGGAAGCACACTGGGCTTAAAAAAAGTAGTTTAAATCAGTGTGGCAGAGAAGAAAAGTCCATTCTTCCATATGAATGATAATAATAGAATGAAAAAAATCCAAACTCCAAAACTGCTCCTTCCTGTTTCAAGTGCTGTTTACACTGCAACAGAAGGACAGATTTCTTTTGGATGTGGCTTGGGTAGGCACAACACCCACTTACAAGATTTTTTAATAGCTTTCACATGGGGTAATCCCCTTGAAACAAAACCTGATTGCAGAGGAGACATTTGATCCATCTTCTTTGAAATCAAGTATCCAAACTCCCATTTTAATACTTCCAGAAAAGCCTCTTCACTGCCATGTTAAATTTCCAGGTGTTAGCCTTCATCAAGTTTGTTAGTATCATAACTGAAGTCAGTCATGGGGCTGGATCATATCTTTGTGGCAGCACAGAAAACAGTCACATGCATTTTTATGCTTTGGAATGCACCAAACCTGGGACCCTGACTGGCTTGTCCACAACTGAGTGTTTTTGGAAGTACTCTAATTGGAATTCAGTCAAAGACAATCCAGTGATGCTATTAAAACCTTAAAATAAATATTTTTAAAATGCATTGGTGCTTCTTTAGTGTTTGTTGGAGTTTTTTTTTTAAGGATAAATGAGTGGTCTTATTGTGAAACACTGTAACTGAGCTTGACAAATAAATATTTACTCTGATAGCATGAATAGCGATGCATTGCATTGAGCTACAATGAGCACACAAAGGATCTATATAACACACAGGAGTCTCTGCTGAAAACAGTAAGAGAAGCAAATGAGGCTTTGAACATTCAATGCAAACATTCAGTGTAAATAAACTCCTAGCTCAGTGAATGCCACTGAAAGTGTAAAGGGTTATTTATCAAAGTAATTCAAGAAATGTCTTTCAAAGGCAAAGTATAGCATATGAGCCTTCTTGTAGGCTATACAATTGCTAAACTCCAGATACAGATTTATTTCTTTTATTGCTGAACTGTTCATGCAGACCACCTGAGATTTACTTCCCTTCTCCTTCCTTGCGAGACAGAAAGCCAGTGATTCTCCAGAACCTGGAGACAATATCCTTTGCCACCTGCCTACAACCTTGGACACATTTGGCTGCTGACAGAAGGCACCAAAACTAAGTAAGACATTTGAGCCCATGTTATCTGACACTACATTTGAAGCTGCTGTCTTTTCCTCCAATACTGTTCACAATAGTTACAGGAAAAGAACAAGGTTTCTCAGGACTTGATCTTAATGACATACATGAAAGAGGACAGAGGCATGCGGGAATTGGGTGATGGGATGGCTGGAAATTTTCAGAGCAGTTCCTGCTTTAAACTATGCTGCCTCTAGACAATTACCATCAGATCTGCAAGGGAGCACAGGGGACAGAAGCAGATGCTGTAGCTGCCCAAGGTGTGGGTGTTTGTCTACATGCACTAGAGTAAATAACCCCATGAAAGGGAGCCCCACAAAAATCGGGGTGCTACTCAATCCAGGCACATACAGGGGATTGTAAGCCACATCAGTCTTTCCCTGAGAAGACAGCACTGGTGTATGCCTGACATTGTGACATCCATACAAAAACTCATTTGGAAACTGGTGTTACAATCTGGCAGAAGCTGACTCATGGGTGACCTACTGCTCCATCAGGGAATAGGGTGCTCCTCAATAACAGGGCACCAAACCTCAGTGGTTTGGCCAAGGAGGGTGATGCATCCACAGAGGATGCACTGAGTACTCACCATCTGCTCTTTCAGTGAGGGAAGGGTGGCAGCTGCCAGACTCTCCCACTCTTAGGGAGAAATGGGATTTCTTTCTCATCTTCCCCCTCAACAAAAATAAAGCATTTTAATGTATACTGAAAAGAAGGAAAAGGATGGCTTCTATCATGTCAAAATCTGTTTTGCAGACTTGTCTTTACTCTAAAAGGAGACTGCCACAGTATGGACACAAGGACCATGATGGAAGGAACCAAAGCTGGGGTAGATAAACAGGCAAAGAACGAATCTTCTTCCATCTGATGCTATTGACTATGCCTTAATGCAGATTCAGAGCTATAAGCACAGCTGGCTTTCCAAAAACAGGCAAATATCAGTGAAAAAAGTTAATTAGGCATTACTGGCACTCTCACTTGTCACGCTGAGACATGAAAAAAAAAAAAAAACAACACAAAAAAACCCCAGCAAGTAGAAGGATGATGTTGGAATCACTATAAATAAGCCCCTTATTTCATCTATTTATAAATAATAAATAAATAGATGAAATAGATGGGCAAAGGCTGAATTAGCATTCCAGAGATGATGTCCTGCAGCAAGACTAGCACTATAATGGAGAGTCCTCAGCTGAGACTTTTTTCCATACCTTTGGGGCAGTGGCTGCATCACAGCTGCAGGTCTTTGGGAGCAGGTCTCTTTTCTCTTGTCTCACACCTGTGGAGAAAGAATGACTTCGGCGAGGCTTCAGTTTCTCTTGAGCTGGCTCCACAGGGTCGAGCTCTACATTGCTCCAGGTCTAATCACAAATTGATAAAGGATTTCAGACAGTTGCATCCTTTCTGAAATTCTTGTAAGTTCTCAAACTCTAGCAAAACCCATGCACATTGACAGAAAAGTAAAGCCATTCTAACATAGGTCTCACACTCACAACTCCCGTGGGGAGGGGCTTTATTTTCAGTCTTGTCACTTACCCTGGACTATTTTGCTTGCTGACCAAAAATAAAACTAACTTGGAAATAATGGAAGTTTATTTAAACACCAGAATGTTTTCCACCCTTTTTTATCTCATTGCCTATGCTACACTTATACCTGCAGAGCATGTGAATTCTAAAGATGGGAGCCAATACAATCAATCTGTTTAATATGTCTTGTGGCATTCTGTGTGACCACTAGCTGATACAAAACCCTGGACACGGACAGATCCAAAACCATGTCTGCATACATCCCAGCAGAATATCCAGAATACCAAGGGCTCCTCAATCTGCATGAGCTTGCTGATTCTACAAACCCTCATTAGTACATGGGAGACTGTGGGTGGGCTTTGCTCTAGTTTTCTAAGAGTATGTCAGTAATGAAGCACAAATGGGACATTGCAAAAGTGCTGTTCCCTTTACAGGCTTGGGGTGAGCCTGTCTGTTATCTCTTACTTTGTGGTGACTTTTTGATTATCAATGATGAGATCATTCCACTCCAACACCAGCTTTTAGATACAGACAGAGGCCAGACATTCAGACAGACAGGGTTCCACATAAATGGGAAGATAGTGCATAATTCCTCTGCATCACCTTGCTCATACATCTGTGTGTGGTCACCTGTTTATTTCCCCTTACCTGTTGAATAAAACTCCTTGGATGAAACATTCCTAGACATGAATCACAAATATGTTCGTTCCCTTCACTAACATGTACACAACACACAGAAGAAAATGTTGGTGGCAACAGCTGCATCTTTTACAGTGTTCCTGGTGTCGTTTCTTGACCATCAATGTTTTATAGAAGCATTCCAAAATTTCAGTCAGTCCTGCTGTCATGCCAAAGTCATCAAGCTTAGCTTTTATTTCAGCAGCTGCTGTTTCAGCTAAAACCTCTACAGCTGCTGAACTGAGCTGTCAGTTGCCTCAAAGGACAATTGCCTTTGGCTGCATCAACTCAGCACAGCACAGTGCTGTGCACTGCTAACAGCAGGGGTTTTAAAAGAGACTCCTAAGCCAAAGCTGTACCAAAAGCTGAAGCCTCTTACCCTCATTGTCCTGTCTATTTAAGCAGCTCCCACATCAAAATACATGCAATGACCTGCTAACATGAACAAACCAAAGCCGAGTAGTGACTAATAGTGAGGAACAGAAAGCTTCTTGGATCAGGACGATGCAGCTGAAATTACTTAATTTGGCATCAAACAAAGGAGCAATGGGAGAAAAATTAGGTTTTTATATATAAAGGTATTTATAAAGGTATAAAAGCTATACCTAGAATTTCTAATTTTGTGAGACGTTATTGGTGGCAGTTCTGAGAGGTTTCTGATACCCAAACTGAGGGGGAGCAGCGCAGGTCCCCAGGAGGGCCAGCCCCAGCCCAGACTTTGCTATCTGCCATCCCCCTGAGGAGCCACTTTCCCAGCACCTCTGCAAGCAAGGCCAGCTTCTTGTGACTGAGAGGCTGTGAAGAGTGTCAAGGGATTCTTTGGTTTCTATCTCACTTGGTCACCATCCTTACTGATGCCCGGGGTATGTTCCTACATAGCACCCCACCATGCTCTAGGGGCAGGAGCCTTTCACTCCTCATGGTTAAAATCCAGGTAAAGAAGTCAAAAATTTCCCATCCTACAGAAAATGGACTTATTCTAAAATAATAAGAGAGCTTTTGGATAAGTTATAAAACTTTGGATGGAAGATTTCTTTCTTGTCCTCCAGGCCATCGAGATGCCTAACATAGCCAGTGGTTGGTGACAGGCAGTGCCTGACAATGGCTCTTTTTAGTTCACATTAAAGACTTAATCTGAACATCCTTGGTCCCATCAGGCATCAGAACCACACAGATATGCTGGCCTGAATGCTTTTTATGATTGTAAATCATCATCCATGAACTTCCAGCTTTGCAGAAATGACCTTACATGACCAAAAAATTTAGCTACACTCTCCCCCTTCCCTGTTTCTGTTCTCTAATTTTGAATATGTATTTATACTGTTGCTTATTTAGAGTCTGAGAAATGTTATACTCTTTTTCTTTCATGGAAACAAGAAAAGACTTACAGCTTCTCCAGTAGAAACAGAGGAAACACAAGTGCTCTTGGTCCTGCCAGCAAGAGAGTGGTGGCTGCAGAGAGAGGTCCTGAAGGATGACTCATTTATGGATCCCCTCAGGAGGTCATTCTTTGATATTCGTATCAGGAACCTCAAGCAGGGAACAGCTTTGTGGATGGTTTTCCTGAGGGAAAATGTGAGAAGAAAAAAAAAGCCAAACCTGTCACACTGAAGACACGTCTTTGAAATTCATTCGGCGCAAATGCTGTCTCTTTCCATCACATCAACATAGCTTCTGTTTTGATTAAGGGGGTCTTAAAGATTACATGCAAACAGCACAGTAGCTGGTGCAAACAACTCAACATGCAGTAAAGAAAATAACAGGTCCTACAAAACAAAACACACACAGAGGAGCTGCAGAGGTAAGTGATAAGAATTTAAAATATCTTGAAGAGCATGATTGCATATGGTTTATTTAAAATGCTAACCCAGAAAATTTCAGGCTAGTTGGTACAAAGGTCTTCACTGTGCAAGGCACAGAATGAGTGGAAACAAGGGAAGAGGAAGCGGGCCAGAAGAATCAGATGTTGTTAATTATTTGTATCACGACAGCTAACGTAAACTCCTATTGAAAATTAACACTGTACAAGCATTGAGGAGAAGGATGGTCTAGAGCCCAAATCTGCCTTATTCATTAAATAATAATCTCAGTCATGATTGTGTGAGTCTATTTCTCTTGACCCCAACTGTGCCCCTACATGGAGCAGAAGTGTCCAAGAGCCTCCCCAAGGCAATGCCAGCTGGCCTTTCTCTTCACAGGGCAATGCTAGTCAGAATGCTTCATTTGCTGTAACACCTCCTCAGCACTTCCCAATCCATTATTTAAGCCAAACAGATGAAGCTAATGGGGACAAAAAAAATAAATGAACAGGTCAAAAAGTGAGGTAGCAACAAGGCATATGGCAAGGAACTGATGCAGGGGATCACTGGGGGATGTCAGTACATTGACTTTACACTGAGATGCAGGTCAAGCAGATGTATGTTGCAAAGTCTTTTGCTTCTATAGTTACCAAGGCTGTTGAATAATCAGGACATTTAAAATCATCATTTCTATTCTCACAAAAGATCACTCATGTTAAAATTTAGGAGACATGATTCTGGCATCATAAAATGAGGTCACTTGCTTGTGATCCAAAAAAGAAACCAACCACCACCAAACCTCAATATTTGGCATCATCACCATGCTCTGAATAGTTCTGCCTCTCTTTCCTCTGTAGTTTCAAAGGCAAGTGAACAGCAGCTCTGTGTTTGCTCTGGAGATGAGGACTGGAAAAAGCTGCCTGCACCATCATTCCTGATCCTGCCCAGATGCCTGTCGGTGACCAGGCAGGGCTCACTGAACAGCTTGGGGCAGAAAGCTGCTCACATGGTGCTGGGTAAAAAAAGATGGTTAATACTGTGCACAAAATAAAGGGCCCTGAGAAATGGTTTACAGGACATGAGAAAATGTCAAGCCCCCATGAATTTCCTTTCAGGCTGAAGATGTCAGTCTGGTGCTGAAAAGCAGCTGCCAGCTTTTATCCCCAACTAAGCTGAACTACTTTCCTCTGACAAGTTCAAATTCATGGTATGTAAAACACACCATCCCATTTATTAAATGGGGTTCGGCACAGAGGTCTCCTAATGATGGAGATGCAGGAAATACATGTCTGATGGTGAATTTTCAAGGAAAACATATGAACATTTCTGAGGGTCTTGAGGGACCAGAATTTCTATTTCACTAATATTTGGGAGGAGTATTGAGGGACATTTTTCTGGTTGGGATGAAAGTACAGATTTTGAAGGGAGTTTTAATATTGTAAGTGTGAAAAAAAAGCATAAACTGAGGTACTTATTTAATGATATTCCTATAATCTGAAATAAAAGAGTCACCTAAAGTGACTCTTAAATAGTAAGAGTAATATAGTAATTGCAAGCAACTTTAAAAAAAATACTGCAACTCAAAGTTATTTGTGATTACTCATTATTTATGATGTAGGAGTTTTGAACCAATATTTTTTGTGCAATTCTGCTTTGCCTGGGAGCCAGCTGGAAACAAGGAGCTGCAGAATTTCCTGTTTGCTATGAAAGAATGACTCCAAAACCTAAAACTTCCAAAATGTAAGGGAGTTTCTGCAATAACTCCAACACAGCAATGTGTTAGAGTTCTTGTGGAACACAGAGACAACACACAAGTTGTTAAAGATGTGACAGCTTTCTTCCCCACAAAGAGCATTTCACAAATTAAAACTTTGAGTACATTCCTCACTTACATTTATTTGCTCCTGTGAGTCCTGTTAAGGAGAGGTGTTATTCTCCTTTCTGTGAGTAGGGAATGAGTGGGCAGGGGGGTGGGTAGGTGAGGAGGAATATAACAAACTCTCAAACCAGTTTTTAGAAGCCAAGTGCTAGCACAAAGGTCACTGTAACATTTTGAGTTACATTCACTATAATGTACTTTTTTTTTCCTCCATTGTTTAAGGTAAGGAAACCCCACAAAAAGGCTTGGTTTTGTTGGGATTTTAAGATGTGCAGTGTTAAGAATTCTCTGTGCAAAAAAGCATCTTGTTTTGCTCAGGGATTGAGCTGGATCTGAACACTCTTGATCCTGATTTCTGGATGCCTCTTTCTAGAAAGATTTGGAAAATAACTTAGATGTAATTTGGTTCAGTAGTTCCAATATAAAATGACAAATGATTCCCTGCTCAAACCCTTAACCCTTTGGCCTGAACAGACTGGCCTATTTTTCTGTGCTTGAATAAATTACTTTCAAGGCATAACGTGAATAATTAGAAGATTTGGAAATTATCCAGAAACAATAACCTTAACATATATCTATTCATTATTCACTGTTGAAGCAAAATTGGTCCTGCCAACATATTTTTACCAACTGACTTATTAGTGTACTGTAAGGTTTTTTCAGTTTTGAAACTGCATACTTGATTCACCACAAGGGGCCCAACGTTACTTCTTTTCCTGACTGGATCGCTCCCAAATGCATGAAATGTCTTCACAAATCCATAAAAATTTCTCTTGTTGATGTGTCTGGAAATACAGATTAGAAAGCAGGGAAAAAATATAACAAGATAAAAACAAGATACTTATAAAGAAAATGTCTGAAAGCTTGTTGTGGACTCCAGTCTTTTCCTTAACAGTCTTAAGAAGCCACTGCTGATAGGAAAAAGTCTGACTGAAGCAGTTCACTGCCACAGAGCCATGGGATGGAAGGGTGTGGGATGGAAGGGATCTTGAAGGAACCTCAAAGACCATCCAGTTCCAAGCTGATGCCATGGGGAGGGACACCTTCCACTAGACCAGATTGCTCAAAGCACTATCCAACCTGACCTTGAATACTTCCAGGGAACCATCCACAGCTTCTCTGGGCAACCTGTTACTTTCAAAAATAATAATCTGAACACAGTAACTTTTTGTTTCTGAACAAAATATTGTTCAGAAACAAATAATGGGTCCTAAACACAGCAGACAGCCATCAAAACTTCTCATTGAACTTTTGCAACCAAACTGAGCATTCTCCAACTCTAAACTAAAATGCTCTGCAGACTTCAAAAAACTCAGATGGTTTTTGGAGGATGCAAAAAGGCGTTAGTTATAATAGCAGACATTTTCAAACAAAATATGTCTCCAAAATGGAGAAATAGGGATTTGAAAGATGAACCACTTGGTGGATGAGGAGCTGTCTGGGTGGTCCTGCCCAAAGAGTTGTGGTCAGTGGCTCAGTGGCCCAAAGGTGGAGCTCAGTGAGAGTGGTGACCTCAGGGGTGGGTGTTGGGGCCAGCCCTGTTTAACATCGCTGTCGGTGACAGGGACAGTGGGATTGGGAGCACCCTCAGCAGGTTTGGTGATGACACCAAGCTGTGGGGTGTGGCTGCCACCCTGAAGGGAGGGATGGCATCAAGAGGGACCTGGACAGGCTGGAGAGGGGAGCCCACAGGAACCTCAGGAAGTTCAACAAGGCCAAGTGCAAGTGCTCTGTGTGGGTCAGGGCAATCCCAAGCACAAACACAGGCTGGGCAGAGCATGGACTGGGAGCAGCCCTGCCCAGAAGGACTTGGGGGTGCTGGTGGGTGAGAGGCTGGGCATGACCCAGCCAGGGGAACTCACAGCCCAGAGAGCCAAACGTGTCCTGGATCATGTCCTCATCCAAAGCAGCGTGGGCAGCAGGGCAGGGAGGGGATTCTGCCCCTCTGCTCTGCTGAGACCCCACCTGCAGGGCTGCACCAGCTCTCGGGTCCCAGCACAGGTAGGACATGGACCTGTAGCAGCAAGTCCAGTGGAGGCTGTGAAGATAACCAAATGCTGGAGCACCTCTCCTCTGCAGATAGGCTGAGGGAGTTGGGCTGATCAGCCAGGAGAAGAGAAGAGAAGGCTCTGGATACACCTTACAGCACTTTCCAGTACCTGAATGAGGGCTACAGGAAAGCTGAAGAAGTATTTCTCACAAGGGCATGTAGGGATAGGACAGGGGAGAATGGCTTTAAACTGAAAGAGGGAAGGTTTAGATTGGATATTAGGAAGAAAGTTACTGTGATGCTGGTGAGGATCAGGAACAGGCTGCCTAAAGAAGCTGTGGATATCCCATCCCTGGAAATGTTCAAGGCCAGGTTGGATGGGGTTTTGCACAACCTGGTCTTCTGGAAGGTGTTCCTCCCTGTGGCAGGTGGTGAGAACGTGATGATACTTAAGGTGCCTTCCAACCCAAACCATTCTATGATTCTATAGAGTCATAGGGTGAAAGGTTTTCACCCTTTTTCAGTGCGTTTCGACCAGCCTTCTGAGAAACCTTCACTTTTCTTACAACCACACTGTCATGCATCAGACATCCTAAGCAATGAACTCAATTTCCAGATCCCAAGTGCTGAGTTGTCAGGCAATGGAATTCACCAGCTTTTCCACTTCTTGGGTGAAACACGCCTCATACCAATGACTAACCCTGCCATCTAGTGGTATTTATACATTTATCACATTTCCTACCATGGCATCCCTGTGTTTTCTCAGAACTTACGACACAGCATCACTTTGTGGTAGCTACACTTTGAAAGACTTGCAAAAAATTCTACAGGTATGTAGGATAGCAGTTCTGTAACAAGTATATCCCCTTGGTATAATAAAGTATTTTTTGCTGCCAGTGTCCCAAAATTTTTTGTGAAAAAATGCTTCAGAAAAACAAACCTTGCACATATGCATATATAGCTGCTTAAATTGGTAAGGATGTGAATTTTGGAGCCTCGCTGGTTGGAATTTTTTCTCTAGACAGTTCTCTGTATTGGCTGTCTCTTGTATGATGAAAGATGACCTGAGCATCATCATCTCCTCCTGTCAGTCATGGTGTTGTGCAGCCCCACAGGGCAGAGCAGGACTCTTGAGGGAGAGGAAAGGTGAAGGGAGGGACTGCTCTCTTTTGGCCACTCTCCAGGCCATATCTGGAGCTGCCATGTACCAGCTGGGTCTGACCACTGGGAGCCCATCATAGCCTGGTCAGCACAGGAACATAGAACATGCAGTGCACAGGTGAGGCTGAAGGAACGAGGGTAGTTTGTTATGTGTAAAAGATCCACATTTGCATGTACAGTTATACACATACCTATATATTTACTGTACCTGTATCTTGGGTGAATTATTGCATAAATGATGGGGTTGTAGATTGCAGAAGCTTTGGCAATAACTGCTGGCACAGATTTGGAATATGGTGTTAGGCTGTTGCCTCGACTAAAACAAAGCAAAAACATTACACACAGCTATGCCATGGATTACATAGATACTACATTACTAAAACATTACTCTTTAAAATTGGTTTTGTACTATTATCTTTTTGTAGGAAATACACCTGTAAAGTTGACTCATTCCAGTGATTTCTTTGCTCAGAGGAAAGGTTTGAATTTGACAGCACGTACTTGGTTTCATTCTTTTAAAGAAGACCAAAGACACGCAGCAAGTAATTTTGGGATTACTAGGAACAAAATAATCACCTTCCCTGTTTCTGCAGTAGACAAAAATGAAGAAACCCAAAACCCCAACAAAAGAACTCCCAGTGTGGCTATCTGGGAAAAGTGAATGGTGATAGAAAAGAAAACAGAATCAAACCTAAAAAATCTTGCAGCAGCAGCATGTGTGCTGCACAATAATGTGTGTCAGTGACTCAGTTCTGAACACTGCAGAAGCAAGAGAGGACTGGAAGTGGTTTGAAACCAATATTCCCCTTCAGACTTTAAGCTCCCACAGTCAGTCAGGTGTGACCAATGTCAGTGCAGCATAAGCACAGTCAATATCATGGTATCACAGAACGGTTTGGGTTGGAAGACACCTTAAAGATCATCCAGCCCAACCTCTCTGCCATGGGCAAGGACATCTTTCACTAGATGAGCTTGCTCAAGGCCCCATCCAAACTGGCCTTGAAGAGTAGAACATGCATTGACAAAACACCAGGTCCCTTTGGAGCAGAAAATGGGTGGAGGAGACAACAGCGTATGGAAGGAAGGAGGGTACTAGGAGATAAAGGAGGTAACTCCTCCATTTTATGCAAAGAAAGTATCATGTGGGAGAGAAAACATTGTGTACCAAATATTAAGACTAAAAAGTCATAATAGTTGCAAAATGCATAGACAAATAATCCCTTTTCTGCTTTATTCACAAGGATATATGACTAATAAATATCACCTCTAATGCAGTAATTATTTAAGACCCATTTAAAAAGAAGATTTGCCTCATGTGGATGATAGTAGTAATCTTATTTGCTTAACCCCTGCTGCTTGGATTGTTCTTCCACTTACCCTGCCCAGGCAATTAAGGTGACACAAGCATATGGAGACCAGGACAAGACAAACACAATGATGACTACAAAAGCAATTTTTGCCAGCTTCCACTCATTCTTCATGGACTGAGAGAGGTAGGATTTCCGGCTGCAGGACCCCAGCTTTTCAACATCTCTGTAAGGGGGGAAAAATAAAGATATTTCAGCAGGACAATGAAAAAAGCAATATCTCTAATATGTTCTCAGCAACATGCAAAAGGAAGAAAATTTCTTATTTCACCTCTCTAACTGTTTTTTTCTCCTCTGATATCTGAAAACCCTAGAAAGTAATTAATGTAGTTGCAAGTGTTATGTTTGCCTGTGAGACTGAGCCAGAATCCCTGGGACAATAGGACAGGACTGCTGTGTCTTTCTCCCTAACACAAGGAGGGTTTCAGGTTGCAAAGATACAGAAATTGATATCTCTTGCCCTGTGCTGCTTTTAGAGGTGCAGCAAGAAAAGGCACAGCTGGATGGCAAAATCAACTCTTATGTCTTTTCCTTTTCAAGGTAGGAACAGCTTGCAGAAATTCCAATTCATGAGGTAACACATACTGGAATACCCTGACAGCTTTGAGAAATCTGTCCCAAACACTTGCAAGGACATTTTTACATACCTCCGGATTTATTTATTCAAGAGTATTTTCAGTGGGAGGTACAACAGGCAGTCCTAATATTTTTGTTATGAAAAATCAAATTCTTTTCTCACACCAAACACCCCACATTTTATTTTAAATGTTTTATATAGGTAGGCATTTTATATTCTTTAGCTTAGAAATAACAAATTTTACATATCAGTGTTGTTAAATGGAGATATATTTCAGGCTGAAGACATTAATTACCAGCCAGAAGGGTAACAAAGTCCCTGCTGGCACACTGTAAAAATAGAACAGAATCAAACAAACACAGAATGGCCTGGGTTGGAAGGGAGCATAAAGATCATCTAGTCCCAATGCCTGCCATGACCAGGGGCACCTTCAGCTAGACCAGGGTGCTCAAAGCTCCATCCAGCCTGGCCTTGCAAAAGGCATAGACAAACCTTATGTCCACTGTGCTCCATGGGTGTACAAAGCACCATTATTTTAAGGATGCATTCCTTTGCTCGCTATCAAGTATACATACACAAAGCACAATGAAAACCAAGACAAGGCCAAAAATAGAGGTCAGAAAGAACTTCATTTTAGGCATATATGTTTTTATAAAAGTGGAATTTAGGCTTATGAAGCCAAATGATTTCAGCAAGTGCCTGCACACAGGAGCAGAGAAAAGCCATCAGAACTGATGACACAGTTGAGCAGCAGGAAGGACTCACAGCACCAGCTAGTGTTGGATTGGACCAAAGATAAGCCATGTGCTCATTAGCACAAAAATAACCAAAAGAATGATGTTAGTTTACAGATCTAACACCCTGCTGATTTTTCATTTCAAATACAGGCAAAAAATTTTTTGGGAAAAATATATTAGCAAGCATAGCCAAGTATTGTGCATCTAGTTGTGATGCTTGAGTGAAGCACAATGGTTTTTGGGATGCTTGTCTTAAATAAAACTGTCAAAAAATATGAGGACTGTTTTGTTTACAGAGCTGCTCAAAGACAGATGATTCTCCCATTGCAACATGTTTTTTATTATCCCTTGAGGCTGAAAACTGCTGGAATACACAAGGACATTGTTTCTTGTAGTGCAAATCTGAAATGCAAATAACTCAATCCAAGTGTCTGACGTACTAATAATTACTATAGTGGAATAAAATTAGAACCACCAGAGACTTGTTTTTCTCTGAAATTCATACATCCATTCCAGTTTTAAATTGGCAAAAAATAGTTCTCCTGTTACAGCTGTCAATTTCAATTCAGACTAATTTTTAATCCAGATTTTTCTGCAGCTAAAGAAACTGAGAAAATCTCTTGTTACACAAAAAGGGATATGTACTTCTTTCAGCTAGATTGCTTACCTGCCAGTACGCCTTATGGCCAGGAACATCGATAAATAGCAGTGGAATATTATTACCAGGGGGATAAAAAACACACAGCAGCATAAAATCATGGTGTAGCTTCTGTTTGCAGGGGAGTAGGTTACATAGTCCCATGTGCAGGATATCATCAGGCCCTCAGGCACATAGGAACCTATGGAATACATGGAACACATTATTCACACACGCACCCAAAGTTAGAGCAGGTGCTGATCCAGCCACTAAGTGATTGAAATAAACCCTGTCTGTGGGTTTATCTGTGGTCTTCAAGTGCCAGCCAAAGTAGGCATCATATATGAGGTCTGAGAAGTGAGTGCCCACACAGAGAGGAGGTCCTGGCTACAGAACTCTAAGGAAGGTACACACCTAATACTCTATGTGCAGGTTGTTCTGCTTTAACACACCCTGGGTGCAGGGGGGCAGAGGGTTCGTGCAATGCAGTAGGTGCAGATGTGTGCTTCGATAACAAACCATCAGATGGTGGCAGGGCATCCTCATGATGACTGATAAGAGAACTCATTTTTTTACACCCCAAGCAAGACTAAAAAGGGCACACAGGGAATGCCTGGAGAGAGAGAGCAGACAACATACTCCAGCCGAGGAGCGGAGCCACGCTCCATCCCAGCGAGTAGAGCCACACCAGGGCGATGATCTGCACGGTGCGTCTCTTGGAAGTCCACTGGATGGACTGCAAGGGCTTTGTGATCACCAGGTAGCGGTCCACAGAGATGGCCAGCAGAGTCATCATTGAGGTTATCCCAAAGAGAGCCCCACAGAAAGCATACAGGTTACAGCCTGGAGAAGGAAATGGCAATGTCAGGGGCTTTCTTGAAAAGAGCCATGCTTTCTCTCAGAGCTCATCGTAATAAATCTCCCTGTTTTTTCCCTGCTCAGGTCTTCTCTCTCAATAGAAGCATTTTTCTCAGCTTCACATTTTCATAGTTAGTGTTTATTAGAAAAGCATAAATATACATAAAATACAAATATATGTATTTAAACGAGTCCTACTTCACTGCAGGCTGCAACTGGGAATGTTTTGTCAATGGAAAACTGCCTCAAAGAAAATCCAATCTAATTAAAGTTATATTTTCCTGGACTGTTGCCCAATATATCGATCTTTACATGCTGCAGCAGACATCTGTCTATTAATGATGGATGGGTGGTTCAAAAAATTACTTTGGTTTATGTGGCATAAAAATGCAGAAATGGTTTGAATTTGATGACTGAGAGACCAACTGTAAAACATAGTTCCAACTCCCATATTTAATGGCAGTACTTTTTAAAAGAACTGACATTTTTTACATGAAACAGGCCTCTTAACCCCCTCTGCATTCAGGCACTGCACTACCAGATGGAAAAAGTTACACTGAATTTAATGGAGCAACCTGTGGAAAGATCATCCATTTTTTGAAATCTTGCATTGGCCCATGTGGTTATAAACAAGACCCCACCAGGATTGACAGGCAGCAAAAACACCAGATCCAACCTTATAGCAGAATTCTACAGTCTATACAAGTAACTTGCAACCAAGGATCAAATCCTACTCAACCCAGATCAAATGCTTCATTTGTGACAGCATAGTAATTTGCACTGATTTTATCTAAGGGGATAAGCAAGACTAAAAATATCTTCAAACTAAGGCAGAGTCCCTTCTGTGCTGCTGAACAGTACATGGTCTCTGGACTTGCTCCACCACTGTACAGCCACCAGTGGGTGCAAGTTTTCATCCATAAATGATGAGGAGCAGCAACCAGCATTGAGCCTTCTGAGGTTCTTGCTATACCCACATCTCAGCCTTAATTTCAGCACAGATCACCTTTTCTTTCTTTCAGTCAGAATAAAAGGAGCTTGAATTTGCCGAGTCCTCAAATTAAGGACTGTTATTTAAATCTCTTAATTAAATATGAGATTCCTAGAAGCATATATATCAACATACATTTCTAAATAAATGTATTAACTATCAGAAAAAAATATTTACAACTTACTAAAACTTTTCTACCTATTTTCAGTCATAATACCTCCCTTACAAGCTAAAGGGTGACATGATTACATGTGAATCTTGACTCCTTCCTTTCCAAAATATGTAAGATAAAAGAATCACAGCTGTAATACCAAACATGTGACATCACACTGACTGACGATGTTTGGGGTTGACTAAAGAGATTTGTGCTGCTCCAGCCATGGCACAAGCCAAGGCTATTGTGGCTGAAACAGGGTGCAGGCAGCACAAAGCTGGTGAGGTGTGAATTAGTGGTGAAAAGTACCTATGTCTCCAAGTATCCATTCTCTGTGCAAGCTGTTGACAAAGCACATGGGTGCCTGAGAAGCCGACATCAGGAAGTCGCTCACAGCTAAATTCATTATAAAGTAGTTTTGGGGAGTCCTCAGCTTCTTGTTGCTTAAAAACATGAGAAATACATAGTTTTAAAAAGACAAAGTGGAAAGTTATAAAGTTACTTTGCTTACTAGCAAAAACAAATACTGTCCAGGTTGAAATCAATGGTTACTTGCAGTGAATCAATTGCTAATCATCAGTCAATTACTGCAGCTACAGCTGTAGTCATTTCAAAATGATTGAAAAGACCAGGAGCCATAAAATAGATTGTTTCCTCTTCAAGCTAAGGAGAGTTTCAGCTGTCTTGATAAATATGGATTTGTTCAGAAGAGCAGTTCCCTAGGAGTGCTGTGATATTGATTGTGCCTTGGACTGTGCATGAGGAACATCTGAAGAAAGTTACAGAGCCAAAGGATCTGCTTCTGGTGACATTTTAAAAACTGCTGATCTGAGGTGGTGTGTTGACACAGTTGGCCTGAAGTGGTTGACACGCCACTAGCTAAATGACCTTTTGCAAAGTGCTACAGCACAAGCAGAGCACACAGAGATTTGGAGAAAGTGCTTTTGCTTATATACATCTCGTAAGAGAGAATGAAACCTATCAGTTGCAGATGAACAGGCAACATTAAACACCACAGCAAGGAGTGTGGAAGCAGAGGTCTCCAAGCAAAGCTTATCCAAGGAAAACAACTGAGACCTTTCTGATGTGCTTTGCAATATCGATATTTGCAGCTACCATTAATTTCTTTCCTCGTGCTGATAAATACTGAAAAAGAAAGTGAGAAAGCCATCTTAGTGCTGCTGCAATTCTATTAAATTCTTGGGTCTCATAACTGTCTGCAAAAACAAGGTAAGAGAGGGTGCAGAGTTCATACATTCCCAGGTGCTAATCTGCCCATGCAGATATTCCTACTTTGACAATTTAATGCTTTTATTACACCAGATGAACCGCACACATTTCAAGAAAAATACAGAGCTTGTGCTGCATTTTAAAAAGTCATGAAGGTACCTACAGTTGTGGGAATTAATGTTCTCTAAATCACATTAGAAGCCGGTTATTCAAAATAACTAATGTATTTGTCTTAAACATTAAAGAATAGGAAATCAATGCTTGGTTCATAACCCCACTGGTGTCTCTAGCATTGTAAGGCCCTGCTGCATCACCACGCATAATGACAGCAAGCAGTGAATGCAGAGGATTTTGAAATCCATCATCGCATTGTGGGACAGAGGGCAAATGTTTCCCTTTTCCATGAGATTTTTGCATACTCTAGCTGCAGTAGCTTTGGCTGCATATTTCTCTGCCAAGAAAGCACACAAACTGATAGAAATCCGATGATCTGCCTGAAGCAGGAAATACACTGGCGGCATGAGCTCATTTCATGTAGCAGATTCCCTTCTTGGTCCTTTCAGGACCACTGGGCTCCTGGGAAGAGTGTCACTGTTTGACAAGTACTTGTGCAAATGCTACAGGGTAAGTGAAGAAGTCTACAGCTGCAAGACTGTCGTTTCTATCAATAGAAGTATTAAACCATTCTTTAAACTTTCAATTGGAAATTGTTTAGAGAACAATTTTTTTCTCATTTTATTTGATTCTTTAAACCATCAGGAATTTACACTGAGGTTGTCAATGATGCACATGGCTGTGTTTTCATCCGTGTAGGGTTGCCTTCTCCTCTCTTTCCCCTCTTATTTGTTGCCATTAGATTTCACCCTAGTGGAAAGCAATGCAGAAATCTGCACATGGGCACAGGTGAAACTCAAGACCACTCAGATCAACCACAAAAGGAATTTTTGTACCTGTAAAATGCGTAGAGGACTAGGAGGTTTCCAATGATGCCGATGGAGCCAATAATGAGCACACACGTTCCTACGGTGTAAAGAACATGGCCAGGGATCTCTGCCTTGGTCACAGTGTGTGGCTGGGTACTCATGGTCAAACCCTGAATGGAAAACAGAGGAAAGGAAAGATTAGCCCATTTGGGACCCTTAGTCCATGGAACACATGCTCAGGCTGTTGGCATTCACTTCCATAGCTCATGCAAATGAAATGCACGCTTCTGAGTTGTTTTCACATCCCTTGTAATCAAATTTCCCTCAGGTAACTTTCATAATTTTGACAGTAGACACTTATCTTAAGAAAAGAGCAACAAAGAAAGCAGACTGGAAAAGACAACTAAGGAAGTGATGATGATGATGTGAAAAAGGCAAAGAAGCATGAGCATAAAACTCGTTCTGGGAAACTGCTGCACTCTGGGGCACAGAGCTGGCTGACAACACAGACTGGCAGCAAGAAATAACTTGTCACAGTTTGTTTTTTTCAGGAACAATGATAACAAATCCCACACTTACAAACATTAAATCCCCCGGTCTCCCCAGGTTCACTGTACACTAACTGAGTACTACAAAACCTGGGAATTCTCCATGCAGAAGAGAGAAGATGAGAGGTATAATAGCAGCACTAGCATTGCCTGTGCAAGAAAACATACATTAAAGAGTCTTGACATCTCTTTCACTGCCCTGTATCTTCAGGATATGAATAGGCTCCCTCTGTATTTTTTTTTTAAATCAAATTCAGATTTATCACTGGCTACATTCAGCAGCAAGGCAGCCTACAGCTAATTCACTCAGCTCACATTAGCATTAGCCATGAGAAGAGTCCAAATTGCCTCATGGAGATTCTTATTTACCAAGTTACAAGCAGCTAAGCCTCACACTTGCCATCAGACCTGGAGAGCTGAGTTAAAGGTGTGTGATATCTTGCCACAGCTGGGCACCAGCTTCACTTCATCCCCTTTCTCCACTGCACAGCCCAGCAATGTGTAGAGTGTGTGATAAGGCTGATTTTGGCCAGTGAGAGAGGAGTTGGGTGACAGAATAGGTTAATATGATAACTATGTGATGATAACCACTTGCAGCATTTAAGCAGCCATTTTTAAAATGATGAGTACACCCTTTCTTTCCCGTTGCTACCTCCTAATCTCCCATACTGCTGCTTCTCCTTTCTGCCTTATGTTCCTCACTCATCTGTGAAGGGCACACAGTACAGCTCCCTCCCTGTACAACAGTCCTAGCTGAGGGCATTATCCCCCCAACTCTGCCACCCTCCAGGAGCATGCCCTGGCGAGGCTGCATTTGGCAATAGGGAGGGCATGGTGAAGTGCACTGCACACCCCGAGCACCAGCAGCAGGCCTGGGGCAGAAATGCTGGCAGCAAGGCTTCCTGGACTGAAGTGATGTAGTAAAAAGTACAAAAGCTATGGCTTCAAAGCAGGAACGTGCTTTCAAGCCTTCTCAGTCATCTGACAGACTCTTCCCTTGACAGGATGGCTACTGCCTATGTGGCACTTCACCATACAGAGATCACATCATTGTAAAAGTAGGAAGAAATGGAAGAGAGCATCTGCTGGTGCTGGTTGCACTGGGGGCCATGACTGTTATTTCCAGTGCTTAGGCAGCAATAAAAAATGCCACCATGTGTAGGATTTACCCTTGAAAGAGGTCGTGTTAGAGCAGGCAGGGCACAGTGAGGTGGCCCAGCAAAGAAAGCAGGCTGTTTGGTGGCACCAGGCAGAGCCAGCACCGTGCTCTCAGAGAAGGGCTGCCTGGGCATGCAAGTTAAGCATGGTAATGCCTCTCCTTCTCTCTCAAACCTATTAATCTTACCAGGGTGTGTGCACTGAATTGCAACCCTGCCACATTTCTGGCAATGCATACCAAAGAAGCTAAACTGGGGAGAAAGGAAAAGGCTTCATGTTTTTCTTCCTTTCCAGCTTATTTGTTAGGCATGCCAAAGATTTGATTCTACATAGAGATTTATTATATAGAGGGCTATTATATAAGTGTATTTCAGGGCAAGTAGTACTTGCCTCTCATATGATTTATGTTTTACTTCAACATATGGGAATTCACTGTTGCAGAAATTCATTTGAGAAATGGACTATGAATTTCACACCCAAAGGTGTCTCACCTTATCTCTGTGCTGAAGAGAAGCTGACTTGAACATTTTGGCCTCGTTTACTCATTTGCGGGTGGTGAGCTGTGTCAAAAGCTGAAAAATATCTCACACGACACATTTGTTAACTCAGCTTACAGTTTGCTGGCAATACTGGATGAAATATAAACTATTGATGCTTACAGAGTGGAATCTGGAAAGCAAAAAATAGCAGGGATTACACAGAGCCTTCCATCTCAGTGAGAAGTTAAAGTGGGAGATGTTTAGATTACACAAACTTTGGATCTTGCCCCCAGGGGAGCCCATGAAATACCATGGCCACTTCTGCTCCAATGTTAATAGCAGTCAGATAACTTTCAGATCTGAATGGAAAGACAGCTATTCATTCCCTCTGCTGGTGTTACCCTGAGAGAGCAGGATGTGGCAGGCATCCAAGCTGAATGAAATGGGACAAGCTGACAAAGACCAAGAGCAATTTATAACACTGTCCTTTGAATGTGAGAGGGAAAATGTGCACATCTATGTGTGTGTGTGTGTGTGTGGATAGATATATTTCGACAGAAAACCTCAATTTGGATGAAAAATAATTTCATTAAAGTGATGGAAAATTTCTAAATAATACAGGCTAAAGCAAAACAAATAGATGTAGGCTAATCAAGGAGAATATATACCTCTATTTACTCACATCATCTATTTCACCAATTTGGCATATTTTCACAATAGAAAAACTTAAAGATTCAAATACTCTTAAGGTTGAGAATTTCAAATCTACTATGGTGAACAAATGCTGCTTTTCTAATACAGACGCATCTTCCATACAGCATAACATCCAGCTGGAGGCAAGTAGCACTATGATCAAGGTTTTAGATATTAATTAAATTTAGGCTTTTTCTCTTTTCCTAATGTCAACTCTGAGAAACTGGTCTTTTAGCAGTTTTAGTTAACAAGAGAAATACTTGCCAATGTAAATATTTTACCATATAAAGATGAGAGCTAGAAATATAAAAAAGAAATTGCAAGCTTTGTGATGAGCTTTGAGGAGAAGCTGGTTTTAGCATATCTTCTCAAAAGCTGTTACTACTCTATGCATTTCTTTTTATACTTTTAGTTTTTCACAACTAGTAAGAATAAAATGAAATTATAGGAGAATACTCCAGACTACCATGAGTATTTTAACCCAAGAAAACTCAAATAACTATTAAAAATCTTTCCAGATAACTTGGTAAGCAGGATGGCAGTTACATACAGCAGGATGCACTCACTATAGAGACTGATCTTACTGTGTCATGTCCATATTGGCCTCTCTTAGCACCAAAATTATGTATCAAATGGTCAATGACAGCTGCCATGAATCAGCAAAATAATAGTTTGTATTGTGAGGAAGGTCCTGCCTTTTAGGCTTGGTAAAACACAGATTTTGTATCCATCTCGTGTCACCAAGATATACTGTGCAATATACTCTGACTTTATACTTCAGCCTGATCACTTCTATTTTATTAACTCCAAATTTAGACCTCTTGAGAATGCAACAGAAAAAAACTTAAAAAATTAAAAGATACTTTGGGAGAAGCTCCCCTTCAGCCATTTCACACTGCTATGGTGATGTACAGCTGACCTGGGTTCAACACACCTATCTCAACTGTACTTATGAGTGCTCAGTATCATCACAGCCATGCAACATAGAGTGGCTCCTTCCCTTTAAGGATGTGATTTAACATAATGATAATGAAGGAAGGCATTCCATTTTACTCAATATATTGAATATTTATTGGGTGAACCAAGTTTTCAAGTGCTAATTTGAAATGAGTCTGCTGGTTCATTTTTCCCCCAGACTTGCTTTGCCTCCCTCCATATTTTGGTCCTGGGACAGAATCCTGAGCACTTTGCTGAAGACACATCCATGTCCTGAGCGAGCATTTTAAAGGCACCATCCAGTATGACCTGATTGTTCAGGTCAAAAATCCAAATGTAAACAAGCAGCCCATGAAGATGCCAGCAATTGCATCAGGGCCAGCTCCTGGCATACTTGCCAACCCTGTCCTCACTCTGACTCCTTCTGAATTAATGCTACAACCATTTGCATTTTGACTCTATGAGCTATTGGAGGACCTGACAACTCACATAAATTATGATGTGGCCTTACCCTTACATATGAAGTGACTAAAACATCAAAACACTGTCACCTACATGGCTGCTTGGAGGGCTTTCCTGGGAGTGTAGCTAACAGATCTTCAGGCAAATGGACAGTAAACAATTAACAGTTGTCCCTCAACTATCTGGCAAAGGAAGTAGGCACCAGATAGAAAAATCAACTTTCTCCCATATTTCTCCCAAAATAAAGATGGAAAACATGAAACAGATGAGGAAAGTCATTCTAAGAAAGCTTTTGTAGTTTGATGTGTAGTGATAAAATGATGGCTAAATAATTACAGCCATCTGTTTCTGCTTTTCAGATGCTAAGATGAATAAATAAGACAAAATTAATTATACGCAAAAGAAAAAAAATTTTTGTTAAAAAAGGAGGGCAAGGGCAGGTCCCCCTCAAAGGGTAGGGGTAGAAAATGGACCAAAATGGCTGTGTGATTGGCATTAGATGGATGCAAGATTATCCAAAGCTTTATTCACCCTCTGGTTTTGCTCATGGGTGCAAGCTCATCTTGTGGAAATGATTTACACTGAAATGAGCTTAAGGAAGGGCTTGCTTACATGGGGGATTAATGTGCACTAACAAGGAAATAAATTAACATAGCAGCCTCCCTGTGTTGAACTGCTGTGGGGATTCACAGCATAGAAGTTTGAATTGCTGTTCAAAATCTTGTCTATACCATTACACCTGAAAATTTTAAAGAAAAATACTAAACAACGTTAGCTATATTAACTGAGATGGGAGAAATCCAAGCATGCTAGCTAGCAGATAGTACTTGCCAAGTTCCTTATAATTTCACTGAAAGTCCATATAATCCAGGTAATTTCAGTATG